ATTGTGCAAACGTTATATTATATACATGTGTACGTACATGAATGACTAAAGCTCTAGGTGGCCATTTTATTGGGCATTTGTTTCATTCTACTGATGATCGATATTTTGTCGAAAAGCGCCAAGGCCGATAACTGCGAGGCAAAGATGTTGCCGTGGATTTCCTTGCTTTTATTCTCCTCTTGGCTACCATCGATAATTTCTATGAAGCATTTGCTAGCGGTCATCATTCAAAATTACTGAGAAAGTGACAGAGAAAGTGAATGAAAGAAAGAAAAGGAGGAAATAAATAAATAATGAATGAAATAAAAAGAGGAAAGAAAGAAAGAAAGAAAGAAAGAGACGAAAGAAAGAAAGAAAGAAAGAGACGAAAGAAAGAAAGAAAGAGAAAGAAAGAAAGAAAGAAAAGAAAGAAAGAGACGAAAGAAAGAAAGAAAGAAAGAGACGAAAGAAAGAAAGAGACGAAAGAAAGAAAGAAAGAAAGAAAGAAAAGAAACGAAAAGAAAGAAAGAAAGAAAAGAAAAAGAAAGAAAGAGACAAAAGAAAGAAAGAAAGAAAGAGACGAAAGAAAGAAAGAGACGAAAGAAAGAAAGGGAGGAAAGGAGCAAGTTAAGAAATAAATACGAATAGCAAAGAAAAAAAAACAGATAAAGGAAGAAATGAAAGAAATTGATGAGGAAATGCGGTAAAAAGCATAATTATAACGGGAATGAAGAAGTAGAATAAATTAATTAAAAAAGGAAGGAAGGAATGGACAAATGAACGAACAAACAAAAAAACGAAATACGAAAGCAAAAAGAAAGAAAGAATGGAAGAAAGAAAAGAAAGAAAGAAAGAAAGAAAGAAAGAGAGAAAGAAAGAAAGAGAGAAATAAAGAAAAGCGCAAATAAATAAAAATATGAAGTGAAGAAAGAAAGAAAAGAAGAGGTGGAGGTAGAAAAATAAATTAAGAAAGAAAGAAACACAAACGACAAAGAGTGAAAAGCAGACAAAGCAAGAAAAAGTAGAAATTATGAAGGAATGCGATAAAAAAGATATAATTATATAGCGAATGAGAAAATAGAATAAATTAATTTGAAAAAAAGGAATGGAGGAACGAAAGAACGTACTGGCGACAAAAACGAAATACAAAAGAAAGAAAGAAAGAAAGAAAGAAAGAAAGAAAGAAAGAATGAAATACCGAAAAAAGAAAGAAAATAACAAAAGAAAAAATATGAAGGAGGAAGAAGAGAATGAAAGAAAGAAAAAGAATGAAGAAAAATAATAAAGAAAAAAAAACGAAAAATAAAGACGATTTAAAAGAAAGAAAGAGACAAAGAAAAGAATGAGAAAGAAGGAATGTATAAAGAAAGAACGGGAGGAAGGTAGGGATGGAGAAAGTTAAGAAAAATCAACAATGACAGAGAACGAAAAATAAAGAAAGATCAAACGAAAAAAACAAATTACGGGAACGAAAGTTTTAAGAATGTCGAATAAAAAATATAGGAGCTTAGAGAAGGAGGCTGGAACAAAAATAAAAATATAAGGAAAAACCAGAAAAAAAAGGAAGGAAAACAAAAAAAATTGAAAAGAAAGAAAAAATGAGATAAAATTTATCAAAACTTACATGAAAGAGAAATAAATGAAAATACAAAATAAACATATGAAGAATATAATTAAATAAAAGCAAACCTCCAGAGCGAACACACAAAAAAGGAGTTGATCTTTCATTGGAATGCACGGCTCATGGAAATATGTTAGCTAAGCTTCTTTTCTCGCCACAGATATTTTAAAACATAAAAATTCCTTACAATTATATTTATAATTATGAACCATGGGTTAAAGTGTAATTTTAATGGTCAGTGGGTAGAAAAATATTTAAGAATTTGAATCCTAACTTGAGTGTTTGATTTGAGCGTGGCATTGTTACAGCAATGGATAGCAGCTCACATTGAGCAATCGGACAGCTGACTTCGAATTCTAGTTAAGTGCATTACATTCACTTACGTGTTAATATACTTGGGAAAAGTATGAATCCATCTCTCCCCGCCACCTGCTATTTGTAAATTGAACGACAGAATTAGCTATGTAGCCTTGGTTGGCAACCAGTCTAAAAGAAGGAAAATTCGGAATTCAAAACTTCTTTTTTGACCTGTTTCACTGTTTGCTCGGCGTCATGAGAAAAAGAAGATTTCAGTAGAAAGTTCGCGAGACAAAACATGAATCACAGTAAAATATAAATGTTTGGGCACATGTGGATAAGAGCGTTGGTTGAATTCGGTGCCTTGTTCCAAAGCGTTGTGAGTTCAATACCTGCCTACTGCAGTGGTAAAGAAAAAATTGGAGAGTTTAGTTAAACAGAGATAATTGAGACTACCGGAAGATGTGTGACACGCGGAACTAGAACAATCTACCCATGTGGACAAAATAAAAGGTTCAGTTCGAAATTCTAATCCCCTGAATAAAGCCGGGGCGTACAACAACCGAAACTTCGTGAATATGGCAATAAAGATGAGGACAACAGTCTGAACAGTGTAAATAATAAATGCTTGATTTACATTGTACGGGCTGTTCTCCTTATCTTTAGTCATATTCATGAGGTTTCGACCGTTGTACACTCCGGCCTTCTTCCCAAAATTCATTTACTGATGTCTCCAAGGACACATGGCCCAGTAGAGAAAAACGTTGGTTGAAGTAATCGAGTGACTTGACCCAATGAGTTGTGAGTTCAATACTAAACAAAAACTTGGGAAGTTGAGTTAGTAACTGAAAAGAATTAACTAAAACCGACATATCGAGAAAAAAAACTGTAACAAAAACAATCGACTCCAGTTGACTAAATAAAGGGTTCAGATCGAAATTCCTGAAGACTGGAGAGTACAACGGCCGAAACGTCGAGAATATGTCAATAAACATGAGGACAACTGTTCGAATAGTGTAAATAGTTACAATACCTAATCCTTGAAATATAGACAGGTGTTGACTTTTGCTATAATTGTATCGTTTTATAAATTAAATCTTTAACTAATTTTAACAAGTTTCTTTTTATTTATATTTACTTATATATTCACTGATATATTAAATCGGGCAGTTCGTTTTGCTTATGACCATGAATTATGTCTTATTAATAATTGATCATTCTTTCTTGCTTTTCTGGAGAACTATTTAAATAATCCTTTCAGTTTTCTTACTGAACCTGCCATCAATTCATTAATTTTTGCGTAGCGTGTATTATTAAGATTACGTCCGTCGATAAAATAAATCGTGTAAATTCCTCACGTTCTTTTAGAATCATTTCGTTATACAGAAAAAAAAAGCTTACGAAAATCCTGTTAGAAAAACTATTTTCGTAAGCTTTTTTTCTATATTTTTTACCTTCTCTAAAGTCTTTCTCTGCCATAGTCGCCTTACTTCTTGCAGTATACTGTCATAATGAAAAGTAATATTGTTTTTAATGAAATTAAACGAAACAAACTTAGTACTTTCTAATAAAAATAGCTTGCTATATATTTTGACTATTCATCGCATATAAACAGCATGTTGTAACGATTCGATTTGATCGAGGAAAAAGTCCCAAACATGTTTAATATAGGGGCAGGGGAAGCGATCCTTTCCGTAAAAAGAACTTCCTCATTTTAGTAAAAAAAAAAAAAAAAAAAAGGTTAGACTTTAAAATGGATTTTGCATCTGTGGACTTGCAAAATGTTTGCCATAAAGAGATAATTAGAAAACTTATCTAGCAGGTTGTTAGGTGTTGGGGGGTTCAATCCATGCAATATGCTTCAATATTGTGACCCTGTGCTAAACTACATCTAACTTTGAGACTACTATGCCAATGTAGCAACAATTAGTTCGTAAATGTTTACACTTCGTATTTGTTTCTTGCCTACTGAGGTTACCTTTGGTCTGTGTGTAAACCACACACTCGAATGTCTTTTTTTTTAGTTATTTTCTGCTATTCTAAAATATTTTTTCTCGCGGCAAGAAGAAATATTTAATGAGTGAGTTATTTAAATTATGACTTAAATTTGAACACGGCTCTGGGATTGTATTTATTGCAAATGGCGAAGAAAGGGATTGTCTGTGCTGAGAAATTAAGGCAAACATTACTTAAAGTATGATGTAAAAGCATTGTTAATGATTTTTAAAAATCATTTCACATCAAGCAAGACAATAAAGCCACTAAAACGCAAGAGGTTGCTGAGTGTGAGAGAATATGAGAAAAAGGAAACATTATTAAAAGAGCAGGTGATAACGATTGACATTGAAATTTTTGAAGGTCAAAATTAAGTGGAAAACAGGAAGCCGGAAAAGAGTTTTGGGGGACATATTTATAATGTTTTACTGCACAAATGAAATGTAAAATATAAAGGTATTATCAGAGGTCATGAACTAATCCAAGCATGACCAATAGAACGAAACTAACCACTGAAATTATCCTGAAATATTTTCAGCCCCATCCACTTTCCAATCCAAAATTTGTTAAAACAGCCAAATATCAAGTTTTTTTTTTCAGAGTTTCTAGGTGTAGCCGAAAACTTTTCAGCGCCTTCTCGAATAAATAAATTATTCAGCTGAACTGTATCTTGCACGGTGATGATCAAACTTGCCATACTAATAAATTGTCTTCTAGACAAGCATTTCCGAGGTAGTACTGAAAAATTATTGACCTGAGGAAGAAAGGATTTTAAAAATTAATGTCTGATTGTGGGAAATGGGCTGAGTAGAGAAAATTTCAACGCTTTTTCGAATTTTTCTATCAACATGCCGTTTTTTGCTTAATACAAACCTCAATAAAAAAAACAATTCTTTTCTTTTTTCTTATACTTTTACAGTTTTAAGTTAAAATACATTTATAGAGAAAGATGTTCTGAAATTAATTCATTCTAAATAGAGATGGCCCTGCCCAATAACTTTATATGACAGTTCCTCCGCCTATAGGCTGGGCTTGAAGTCACTTTAATTCCCAGCAAAGTTGCTTACTTTGAAAGTGTACTACATAAAGCTCTGTATAAATTATGGAACTAATAGATAGTTGAGAAGGAGGGGACAATTGAGGTTTCAGCTGTGAGTGACACGATGCGTGCAAGGGCATCACAATAAGAGGTAGCATCTCCAACTCTAGCGACATAATTATAGCACGCCGCCAGAACTAAACATAGGGCTAATGGCAGAAAAATACTACGCGGGAAAAATAATCCTAAGGGCGTTTTTTTCTCTCTCTCTCTCCCTTTCACATTGGCAGAAGGAAAAGAATATTCTTGGGGTGATGTCTGTGACAAACAAACAAACAAACAAAAAAAAAAAAACAATAAATAAATAGATGGAAAAAATAAACAGAAAGAAGAGAAAGGAAGAGAGATGGATGAAGGAAGTAAGGTAGAAGCAGAAAGACAAGAGAAACGAAAAGGGAAGTTATTGAGAGAGAAGGGAAGTTACTGAGAGAGGATGAAAGAAAAAGAATAAAAAGAAGTGTGAAATTAGTAATAATAGTAAAGAATAAAAGGAATGGAAGAAAGGAAAGAAAAATAATGAGAGTGTAAACAAAAAAGAGAAAAGAGAAGCAACAAAAAAATCTAAAAAAAATCTAGAAGAACGAGAAATAAATAATTAAATAGAAAAAAATGAACGAGCAAAGATTTAGGCGAAATAATGAAAAGAGATGAAAGTAGATTGTTGTAAAAGAAGCAAAGAAGAAAGAAAACAAAGAAAAAATGAAAGGAAAAAATTTAAAAAGAAGAAAATAAAATAAGCACTCATTTTAAAAGAGTAAGAAGAGATAGCGAAAGGAAAAAAAACTATAAAAAAAGGTGACAAGACGACAAAAAATAGATGGGAAAGACAAGTTTTGAGGGTGAGTATGGAGAGAGAAAGAGAAAGACAGTTGGGGAAAGGGAGAGAGAGGAGGGAAGAAAGGTTAACGAAAAAGTAGATAAAGAAAGTATAAGAAGAAATGTGAAAGAAAGCTAAAATAGAGTGAGTGTGCGTAACTGAGGAGAGTGAGTGAGAGAGAGAGAGGTAAAAGAAAATCAGAAGGAAAATAAATATAACAAGAGACATATGTATATACAGAAGTAGTGACATAGAGCGAGAGGGAGAAATGAAGAAATATAGAAAAGAGGGTGATAAAAAAGTAGATAGAAAACAAAAGAAAAATAGAGGGAAGAAGGTGGACTTGTGGGATGAGTGGAGGGGGGGAGATGCATAGAGAGAGAAGGTATAAAGAGAGAGTCAAGATAAAATGAAATTAAAAAATAAAACATGAGAAGCAAAGTAAAGACGAAGAAGAGAATGGGTGTTGAAGAGAGAGAGAGAGAGAGAGAGAGAGAGAGAGAGAGAGTGAAAGAAAAAGTAAAGTGAGGGAAACAAGAAAAATAGATGTGTAGAGAAAAGAAAAACAGAGTGAGTAGGAAAGAGTTGGTGAAAGTTTATACATGCCTGTGTTTAGGAGGGTTTTCAGAGAGCGAGCGAGTGAGAGAAAGAGAGAGAGAGAGAGAGAGAGAGAGAGAGAGAGAAGGAGACGAAGAGAAAACGAATTTAAAACACAATGGCCGTAGGGCTGAAGAATAATTTCGAACTGCATTAAACAAGTAATCAACTGGGCCGGGGTAAGAGGAATTGTAGGAAAATGGCACAATACTGTTGGTTATCCAAGAGAATTTCAATCTTCAGGGCAACAACCTTAACGTGCAGTCATCCCCCTTCCAATTCTGACAAGCATGGCGGCTTTTGTAAAGAAAGGTGGTTGTTAGCAACGGCATATTGAATTTGGAAGGCGGACAAGAAAAAAAAATGGAAGGCAACGTAAGGATATGGCAGAATCAAATAGAAACTAAAAGAACGAATTAAAAAAATAAATAAATAAACGTTAAAACTGATGATGACGATGATAATAAGCTGACGAACATGATAACAGCGGCCATTGAAATAAATAGAAGCGCCCAATTCAGAAAAGGTTTTCACAGGCGGTGATGAATTTCATTGTCATCTGTTTTTCACATCATCAGTTCAATTTAAAATAAACACCACTGTATGAATTTATTGGAAATAAAATATTTTTCAACGCAATCGGATATTTTCCAAACTTTATAATCAGAATGCGATCAGAGCGAACAACACAATTTCAAAAATGGCTGATACATATTTTTCGTAGATTAAGCAAAGCTATTTGAACTTTTTTTACAATGATGTTCACTCTGTACAAGGCCCAGGAGCCAATCGAGATAGAGGTACAGTTTATGCGGTTATGTGGGGAAGATAACGATTAAACCTAGACTTGAACAGGTAGTCGGTTTCATAAAGCAGTGGTTCGTGTGGAAAGATTGCTCGAGTCGAACATCTCACCAATGGAATACGAAGGGAATGAAGGTGGTTTGCTCAATGGTAGTAGCATGGTGAGCCTTAGTTGTGAAGATTAAAACTAATGAATGTAGTTCATCTGAACAGTTGTCATCAAAACATAGATAGAGTAATGAAGGACTTGCGACGTTTATCATGATAGTCTTGGGTTCGATCTTCGATGATGGAATATAACTAGTTCGGTTTTCGAGGTATTGGATGCGATCAGCCAGTTATCCTCCCCAACGAGCTGTTAGATCTAGGTTAGAGGAGAGATCAGATGCCAATCTCTGGTCGTTTAGATTTTGGGAGAAGCACCTATATATCGTTGTATCATCAGCGTAGATATTAAAAAGGAACGGAGTATATTGCTAAGCAGATCATTTATGTAGAAAAAAGGTTGATCTGAAAAGCGACCCTTAGTGACGCCTACCTTCATTGCTAGGGTTACTGCTATTAGGTAAGCTCGTCTTATATGGAATGACAGAAGAATCCGTAACATTTATTGGGAAGAAACCGTTTGCATGCAGGTAAGAAACGGGTTACGCAATCTACAAAAATAGAAGGAGATGTAAGTCAAGGATGCGTTTTCTCACTGGATTTACTTGATCTACAAGCGGGATAATCCTAACAGGGTCTACAATAGAGCCTACAAAGGATAACAAGGCCTACAAAGATTAATTATAGGTGGCAATAATCTTAACATAAGATACGTGTATGGCACTGCATTGATGGCGGACTTGGAAAGAAAAGTACACAATCTCCTAGAAATCATAGCAAAGGAAAGCGAGAAGGAATGGTTAACCATTAAGTATAAAAAGAGATGGTGTGTGGTCATCAGTAAGTGATTTTGCCAAAGGTGTTGTCTTCGATTAGGAGATACCTGAATCAAACCGGTACAGCCATTTAACTCTCTGGGGAGTGCATAGACAGACGATAGAAAGTGTAATACAGAGGGTCAGAAAGCGCATCAAAATTAGTGAAAATGCCTTCCAGAAAGTAAGAAATGAATTAAAACATCGGAATATTTCGTTAGAAACAAAGAAAAAAAACCCACTAAAATGCTGTGTTATATCTTTCCTTCAGTATGGCGTTGAATGCTAGGCAATTTCTTTGCAGGTAAAGAAGCGACTGGAATCGTCAAAAAGATGGTTCTACAAACCGATACTGAGAATACCGTGGTTAAAATATGAGTTCTAAAAAGAAATCGAAATTTGAAAAGCGCTCAAACTTAAAATCAGAAATCGACAATTGAAATTTCTAGGACTCATAATGAAGAAAGACAGCATGGAAAATTAATACTCACTGGTTGTTTTGAGGGAAGGTGTGTTAGAGGGAAACAAATAGCAGCTTATCGAATGAGTTTGTGGGAGTGAAAGGCAGAATATACATAAGGAGCGATGGCAAAGTGTTTAATATTACTTAGAGTTACAATAGATAGGAAGTTGTGGATACCCATGTTCAGCCAAAGAACACGAAGCAAAGATGATGATTATGATGATATTTAGTGGTTTCCACTATAAATCAAGTGACAGCTGGTTTAATTGTTCGACTTTTTACCTTTTTTTTTGTGTGTTTTACTTATGCAGTTTTATGGGTGATTTCAAATCTACTCTTTCCCAGTTTCTTTCAGTTCCGGCTATTCCGGGGGCCATCATTAATTTTTATATTTAAAAATTTTATTTTATTCTCTCTCAAGATTCACATATGTTTCTATCTATTTTTTTTATCTTGGTTCGACTTCAATCTCTGGCATGTTGGAATGTTGGCAAATGATATCTTAGAGAGATAGCATTTACAAGAACTACAATCGTTTTCCAGGCGGGGACGAGATGCTCCCTTAGAATATCAAAAATCCCTTAAGATATTTAGTTTTCTCTTTTCTCTAGGATAGTACTTATCGAACTAATACCCACGAATAAGACACCTCCACAAATAAAACACCCCACTGAAGGCCGCAGCAGGTTTTAGAAAAAAAAAAAAAAAATAAGAAACAGTATTCGCAGTCTAACTAAACCGTTTATTCAATCTGGGGGTAAATTTTTTCCATTCCTCTTTTGATATCTTTTTTGGGCATGAAGTACATCCGGCAGCAATACCTCTGATCGGGAGGTTTTGAGGAGCGTAGAACCATCTCTTAATTGATGCTGTTCTCAGGTCCACACGAAGTAGTAGCACTTGTGGGGGTCCAAGCTATGGGCAAATAGTGAATCCTCCCCGCCCCCAAAAAAAAAAAACCCCCAATCAACAGTACATTTTAATAATGAACAACAAAACATTTTTATAGCAAAATTACAATCCATGCAACATTGAAAACATAAAAAAATACATTTTTATATAAAATTACAAACAATACATTTTATGATCTGCAAAATATATACCGAAAACATATCTTTACGCTGAAAGGATAAAATTATGCACAAAATATCTCCTAGTTGAAAACATAAAATTAAGTACAAAATATTTAGATTTCTGCGTTAAATAACCCATAGAATTTGATATGCCGCCAAATAAAATCAAGCAACCAATCAAGCAACATGAAAGAACTCTTTCTCAGGACATTAGTCCATATATTAATAATATCCTACATCTTTTTATCAAACTCAAACTGTTTTCCAAAATATAACTTCAAAAAAACTACAACACAAAGCACACACATCACCGCCTCTAGTAATCATGTCCCCACAAACATGTATATGCACAAAAGCCGAGTATCATCTACCATGTACTCAGTTGAGAAAACAAAATAACATATATTTTTATTGCTTCAAAACTCACGAAAAAAATTAAATTTCGGCATTAAATGATCCATAAGGATTTAATATGCCGTTAAATAAATAAATCAAAATCAATCTTTCCATATCGTTGTGGTAATGGTAAAACAGCACAAGGACATTAACCCGAATAGAAAATAGACGAAAATTTCCTTTTTATGCGAAAGTGAATGCAATATATCTGTTCAAAAATAAAACTCGGTTTGCCGATTTCAGTTTGTACGTCTAAGACCGTTTCGCTACCAACACATACAAGAAGTCTACCATGTGTCTTATATTAAAAGCATTGCTAATGATTTTGTATACCATTGCATTGGAAATCAAGTACAAAGGGATTGTGAGTTGTCAAAAAGTAAGATAAGCGTTACTGTCGGTATAAGGATTTTAAATAAATACAATGATAGTAATTGAACTATGTACATTGAAAAGTGTTCGGGCCATGGAGCATTTACTTTATCTTCCGTCAAAAGAGAAGAAAGGATTAAGCATCAATTTTAAGAAGACAAACTGTATGGTTGTCAACGCAAAAAAAAAAAAAAAAAAAAAAAAAAAAAAAAAAAAAAAGAGCCCACTATGCGAATTATAAATTGGAGACGCCAAAATCAAGCAAGTACAAAAATATAAATATCTAGGAAGTGTTTTTGTTTTCACAGAGGGCGGAATATGCGACAACAAAACTCGAATGGTATAGCGAAATGTGTCTTCCAAATGCTAAGCGAATTATTAAGAAATAAAATTTCAATATAAATTGTCAAATAATATCGGCTCTCCTTATATACCAGCAAATGCTGGACAATCAGATAACGAAAAGACTTTTTGTAACAAAAAAGTGGTTCTACAGAAGGATGCTGAGAATGCCATGGATTAAAGAGCTAAGCAATGACAAAGTTTTAGAAAATATGGAAACAAAAAGAAGCATATATTTAACATCAGAAAGAGAAAATTGAAATTTCTAGGACACATTATGAGGGAAAGGGGATTGGACAATTTCATATTCACAGGGCAAATTAAAGGCAAGAGGGACAGAGGAACACATGCAGATGATGCAGTATTTACAGCAGTAGGAATGGGAGAAGAAAAAACCATGATAGAATGGATGATTGTCAGCAAATAGAAGCAGCCAGCGTGAAAATTACAAATTGCAGATGCTAAAATCAAACAAGTACAAAAATCTAAATATCCATTTGATGTTTTAACAGAAGACGGAAAATACTGTACCAAAATCGGAAGCTGCATTGGGAAAGGGAAATATGCCTTCCAAAAGCTAAGCAATGTAATAAGAAACAGGAAAATCTTGTTAGAAACTAAGAAAATCGTACTTAACTATTATGCAATTTGGGTGTTCCTTTGTGGCAGTGAATGCTGGGCAATCTCATCTCAGATCAAATAGAAACTTGAGGCAACAGAAATGTGGTTCTACAGAAGGATGCTGAGAATATTATGGAATACTATGAACATTTGCAGAAAAGAGGAAAGGAAAAGTAACGAAATTAAAGAAGGAAAGACTAAAATAATTTAACACTTACAGGACATATTGAAGGCAAGAGAGACGAAGTAAAAGAAGCACATTACATCCTGAGAGAGTTTGTGTAAATCGTTAGAAGAATAGCGATTAGATGAGGTAACGAAGACAACATGTGCTAATTTCAGGAGTAGGAGTTGAATAAACGAAAGAAAGATTCGAACTTACTACTTATTAAACGTAGAAGGTGGTCCAAACTATTATAGTATTAAGTACATTTTGACAACATGATGTTATTTTATATATATATATATATATATATATATATATATATATATATATATATAGATAGATAGATAGATAGATAGATAACTAGGAATGTGACAAAATGATAAGAACACAAACAAATAGGAAAATGTTATCATTTCTATCTTGTTCTGTGAGGAAGCTTTAAAAAAGTGAAACATGTTAGATAGGAATCTCTATCTGTTTCATGATTCTTCAGTTTCCTTCGTGGATTTTTTAAACATCTAAATTGCTATCAAACGTTAAAATCTGTTTTTTTTCTTTACCTAAATTGCTAAAACTATATCACCCCTCTTCTTCCTGAGTAAACCCCAAATACATATTCTTTCTCTTTACTTCCCCCTTCTTTCTTTTTTCTTTTTTCTCTCTTCCCTCCTTCCATTTCAACATATCATTTCCGTTAACCAATTAAATAGGTCAATGTCTGGTCCTCCTTCCTCAATACTAAGAATGATAGAAAGAAATATTAAAATAAACCCTCTCTAAACTCGACCATGTCTCTCACACCACTCCTCGCTACTCTCGCTGTTAAATTACATGAACTTAATACTACCCGTCAAAAGTGTAAATATTCATTTCATTTTTCATTTCACCTTTTGCAAGTGATGTCTGATGATCCAGCGTCCTTTAAAAGGTCTCTGGTGAAATAAACTATTACAATGGAGCCTTAAAGTGGTCTGTTTTTCTTTAAATTATTAGCTCTGAATTTATATTGAGCTCTCAGGATGTAATCCTCCTTGGGACTACCCATACGGATTACCAAGTTTTTCGTAACTTATATATATATATATATATATATATATATATATATATATATATTACTTCAACCACTATTATAGTGGACACTTTGTATTTGAAATAGAAGCCCCATTTTTAATTATTAAACAGCTTTTGTTACGTCTATTGGCATGCGCATTCATGAAATCTTAAGAAATAATAACGATAGAAATAATAATGACAAATAAATAATATACATGTGCGTGTGTGTGGGTGTATATATATATATATATATATATATATATATATATATATATATATATACTACAATGATGAGCTTTGAGACAGCAAAAAAAGTCTGATATCTGTAGATCGCAAGGGCGTGAAACTCACAGTGGTAAACTCACATCAATATATATATATATATATATATATATATATATATATATATATATATATATATATATATTAAAAAGAAGAGGTGCCGCAAACGTTTTTTGGTTGTAATGTGGATTTATTGAGAAAAAATATTATACTTTGTTTTACATAATTTCACGACACGTGTTTCTGGTCTGGTCTCGCAACCGTCCGCCAACACACAAACAGAATGTCTCATATCGAGAATATTCCACATTGAACATGAAGAAAAATTAATTATTTTTAATAATATATAAAAATCTCCACTTTCACCTGAAGACGGTTGCGAGACCAGACCAGAAACACGTGTCGTGAAATTATGTAAAACAAAGTATAATATTTTTTCTCAATAAATCCACATTACAATCAAAAACGTTTGTGGCACCCCTCTTCTTTTTAATATACATACTTTTCTCTCGTTGGAACCACTACAACATATTTCTTTTATATATATATATATATATATATAGAGAGAGAGAGAGAGAGAGACAGTTTGTCTGACGATCGCTAAAGCGTGAAACCCAGGGTCACAAACTCACATCTATCCAACCAAATATGTTAGCTCTATCTCTGATATTGGGCGCTTTCTAATAAGTACCGCGCATATAATATATAAATAATTATACATACATATATATTTATTTATATTTATATACACTTTTCACACACACACACACACACACATATATATATATATGTGTGTGTGTGTGTATATTATATGTTCACACTACTCTCTGGTTTTCTATTGCTTCTTCCCTTTGAAATGTTTCCATTTTCTTTCACTTTGCTTAGGTGAAATGTTTAAAAACAAAACAAATAATCACTCATTTTGAAAAATCGCTAAACGTGAAAAACTGTACTTATTGAATATATATATATATATATATATATATATATATATATATATATATATATATATATATGTGTGTGTGTGTGTGTGTGTGTTTTTTTATGTATATTCAAATTAAATGTAATTAAAATAGATGAAAATTATATACGCGAGAAAAGGAATATACAAATAATATATATATTTATATATATATATATATATATATATATATATATGAATATATATATATATATATATATATATATATATATATATATATATATATATATATATATATAGGGAGAGAGAGAGAGAGAGAGAGAGTGTGTGTGTGTGTTTTGTGTGTCTGTATGTATGTATGTGTATGTGTCTTTTGCTGCTATGATCGACTTCTTTCCTTCTCGTCGTTCTTTTTATTACATATCCATCCCAGTATTGCCTCTAGGCAAAACAACTTGAACCCATTTCTCTGGAGGCGAGAACTTGTTTTGTCGACTCAGTGTCTGACTTGCCAAAGCCAACACACCGATTACGTGTGCTTGAGACAACTCTTCAATAGTCATTAAAAGACAATTACGCCGTCTTCATAATAGTCGCACTAGGAAGTCTCTGGGACTGACGCATTATTTATAACTTTTCCATAAAGAATACGATAATTTTGTGAACATCAGGCTTCAAATTGAGTTTATCGGGAAATGTAATTTTAATAAGCAGGTTAAAACACTATAAATCATAAAAAGGGTCACACTTTCTTTTAAATTTATTGTACGATGATTTAAAATCAAATAACTAGATTTCATTGTTCGACATAGAATCTTAAACCTATGACATCGAGATCAGGGTTCTGCACGTTTTTCTTAACTGTAGAACTGTTAAACTATTAGTGCGATGTAAACATTTACCGAACTGAATTTGGTAAGGTACAAGGTCGTTGGATAGGCCACACAGTTAGGATTCAACTAATTCAGTAGTAATTTTTTAAAATTATATCATCCCATTCTGGGTAGTAAAACCATTATGACACAAGGAGTTATATGAGTAAGAAAAAGAGAAATATTATTAAGGAGCAAGAACAATAGAAGAGTAACCAAGAGGACAGTATATAACGATTGAAATTACATTTGAAATTTTGAATATCAAACTTGAATCATGGAACCGGATGAGAGTTCCACAATCGAAAAACGTGAGAAAAGAAACTGTTAGCATAGAACTTACGGTTACATCCAGTCTATTCAACTGTGAATTGATGAGATCTTGCCGCATGTCTAGTACTATTTTTAAATTCATAAAGTCTAGGTAAGAAGAAAAATAGGAAAGAGATGATATCAAAAGCAGAAAGTGAGAAAGAAAAGGAGGAGAAAGAAAGAGGAAGCTCAAGCAGGAGTAGGAAATAATAATAATAATAAGATTGATTGATTCATTTTTTACGGTTTATCAATCCTTTGTAGGTTATTTAAAGCCATAAAATATTTTTTTAGTTTATAAGAATGTTTTTGTATATAGTTATGATTAATCCATAGCTGGTGAAAAGGAGGTAGAATCGTACGTTTCCCAAGGGTATTTGCACGCAAGTGAATATAACGAACCCAACCGAGATTGGAACTCGGCCCTCCGATTAACAATCCGAGCCATTATCCATTACATCACCTGCACCTCAAAACTTACACCACTTGGCATTCCTAAGCGATCATCCATCTCGGTACTGACTAGGTTCGACGTTGCTTACCTTCGATGGTCGTACGGAAACCGGTGTTTTAGCGTGATCTGGCCGTAAGCCCAAAAGAAGAATGAACAGAAAGAACATAGGGAAGAAAAAAGCATCAAAAAATGGCGGGAGGTAAAAGGCAAGAAAGACAAAAAGGTAGAATGTAAAAAATAAAAGCAAAAGCAAGCAACCATAACGGACATCAAGGAAATAAAATGGCCACTGAAAAGAGAAAAGTACCAAATAAAAAATAAAACCCTTCGAGAGAAGGTTAAAAGCTTAGATAAAAGGTGAAAGAGACGAAAAGAATTAATGTCTAACGAAAAAGATAAGCCATCAAATTCTGTTCCTTCATTTTGATCGAGCGGTGAGACACTAATGTCAATGCAGGTATTCAAGTCACGTCTATCCACGGCGATGTTTCCGAGATTGTGAAAAGCAACTAACTCTCCTGGAACACTTAATCTAATTCATTACGAAACAGTAAACAGTTCTGGTCAAACCGACAGAGCATTGGGTAAAATTAACCTCAATTATAGGGAATAAAAATAAGAAACAAAAAACAATCACATCAAGAAAAATAATATAAATTGTCCGTTTTTGTGTTTCTTTAAGAGCTCCTTACCCCAACAAAAAACAACAATAAAAAAAAACGTAGCAAGGTGTTTAAAAATATCGCCACACGTTGATAGCAAAGGTAACAAACTGAGGTGTGTATATACGAGGCTTTCCATAAAACTGAATTGATTAGCCCCAACCTCAGATGTCACGTCACGTGCTACTGTTTTCAAAGAAAGCTAAAAAAAAAAAAAAAACATATCTGGTATCAAATTATCGATAAACAACAGCCGAATTTAGGTTTTTTATTCTCGCTGTTTTAGATAGATGCAACGTTACATTGATTAGATCATCTCTTGGCGTCTAGAGAAGAAAACTAACAGGTGTTAGTTTGAAAGCAGATTTCTTCAGGTTTGGATAATTTTCTTGTATCACTATAAATACTTTTTCTTTATCATTTTATCACTAAATATTTCCATGGAAATCGTTCTAAGGAACTTTCCTCTTTGGTAAACTCAACTTCCCGAAGATAAGCATAGGACTAGATTGTTAACTAGATCTCACAATTTTAATGTTGAAATAGATCCAACCTCAATTTCTATTTTAAAGGTTTCTTTTCGTATATTTCTCACTTGTAGAATTTTATTCCGGTTTCTTGCTTTACTGACAACCAGGATCTTCAAAAAAAATTTAAATGCAACCTCAATCGCCATCTTCTGTCTTGCTGATACCTGTTCTTTTATTGTTTTCCCTCGCTAACGTTTTAGTATTTTGTTTTCACTCTTAGTTAAACATTGCGTCTTAGTGGCATTATCGCTTTGCTCGGAGTAAAATGACAGGATTAAATATAAGCATAAGATCTTATAAAACAAACTTATTTTCTTTTATTGCGTCATCAAAATCTGGACCGCCAATATTGGTGTTATGTATGGTGTCCAACTCGTTCAGAAATGTCAAAACATTCATCTATGCATGACCATTTTCTGCGTTCAATGATAAAAATATGGCTACTAGCTAATGAATCCTCTAGGCCATGATGAATGCAAAAAAATACATTAGATCTTATAGATTGATGTGAATAATCATTAACAGAATGTTTCACCAAATAAAGACAAAAGATTTCCCACAGCAGCAATAACATAAATGCTATATTGTTTATTATTTTTTCTTTTAAATTTTGCCACAGTTGCCGGGTTTTCCTGCATTATTTGTTTTTGTACAACTAAACTGAAGAGCGTTTGTTTTATTTTTTGCTTAGCTAAAATTAAAATCATCATCTTTGTATTTTCTACTCTCGTGCATTTTTACCACTTGCTTGTTTAAGTGTTATTACGGTCAAAAAAGCAACATAAATTATTTTATTATTGTGTGTTAAATAATGACTTTATCTCCGACTGTAATAAGTTTAAATTGCGATATATATTTTTACTTTGTTTCTGATATTTCTAAAATTAAGAAACTTTTCGATATTTGTGTTTGTTTATGTACTATTTCGTAATTAGTCTTGCTTTCTGGTGTTTTTGTTTAACTGCTATGAATAATCAAGAGTAGTCACCCCTTATTTTGTTATTCTTCTCTTTGAGATAATTATTTCTGTTTACTGGGACTATAAAAGGACACTCGACGCGAACCTTGTATTCTCAATTGAATAAAGCTTTCTTCAAGCCTACACCTGTGTACTTTTGTCATCATACTAACGTTTTGTTTTTATTTACTAAAAAAAACTCTTTCTGAAACATGTAAAATATTTAATCTGTATATAAATTTGACGAGTGGAGGAGCTTGCACAGTGCGATGAACCTGAATGCAATGCCGTCGAAATATCCGTTTTCTGGTAGGGTCAACCAGGATGATAAGGATTCAGGGAAAGAACCTGACTAACCACGATCTGACGCCTGGCGGGTAGGCCGTCAAGGCGACGTTCTACGTACGAGAAGAAGTTGGAAGCCCTATGAAAGTTGTTATTATGAACCTGCTTATCAAGCCCTGGTTTTACCGCAGAGGATGGTGTCAGCTGAAATGGACCACCTCAAACAATTCCGCTGCCAAGTCTTTCATCATCAAAGACTTTCCTTCTTCTCACGTCTGAGCAACCAACCGGAGAAGACATCATCTTTCGAAAAAATTAGAGGAGAAATAGAAGAGACGATATGATCATCTAGGAAATATAGTCAACGATTTGTTGTTTATAAATACATAAAAGGACAATAACAGTTGACCTGAGAAGTCTAATTTCCAGAAAAAAATGCTTTGTTTTTACGAGAAAGAGTTTATAAATTTCAACCGACAGTAACACTTACTGTTTGGTCAATGAATTCTGAATGTTTCCTTATAAGGAAACAGCTATTCTCGCTATTAGCATTAACATTATTCAGCCCGTAATACATGCAATCATCATAATAAATTGAATGGAAAGTAATGATATAATGATGATGCTGACCTTCCACACTGCATTAAACAATTGGAAGGAACCCTAAACGCAAGTGGTCCTCTGGTGGCAGTCAGGCCAACGGTGGACCTCTAGCTATCCGCCAGTGGAATGCCACTTAGTGACAGATTGTTGGATGGCGTGTAGGGAAACTCCCATCGGTACTAAAAATATAGATACAACAGTGAGCTTGAGAACTCTATTTTACTGAAAAGACTGCTTTAAGACAAAGATTTTATAATGTTCAGCCAATTAATAGCGAATATTTCCTGAATGGTAACCGTTAATCTCACCATTATTATTACTATATCAAGAACGAAGTTTACAAAAGAAAAATCAAAACACTTACGAATTGAAATGATTCCACGGAAGTAGAGACAATTTTCATGACATTTGGAATTTGTCAAATAATTATTCATTGTTTTTCTTAACAGAATGATTCCTTTACATTACGCTTTGAGTTCCTCTATTTGAGAAACCTGTTTTCTTGAAAGACTATTTCAAGAGAAAAATCTTACCAGCTTTAGTCTATAGTAATGCTAACTGTTCGGCTAATGAATGCCGAATAATTTCTCTATTGAAACAACTAACTTCATTATCACCATTACGATTTTTGTTAACCTCTTCATTATTGCCATTTTACATGCCTGATTGGTCGTTTTTCTTCATTAAGTAGCTCAAGGTGATGTGTTGGTAGCGTGGCAGTTATCGACGCAGCGCATGAAATCGGCGTCCTGCATTCAAGTTCGGTTGCGTTCACTTACGCATAAATACCCTTAGGAAAAGCATGGGTCCATCACTTCTACCTTCACCTACGGGTTACAGAACAGGGTTTTCAATCCTTTGATGCTAACTTTAAATTCCAAATCGTGAAATAGCCAACGGGGAATAACCACATTACATTTCCCAGGAAGTCATTACAGTTCACAGATAACAAAGATAATAAATCTGTGTAAAGCCATGATCAAGCCTGTGTCTTAAACGACATGGTAATGGTGTTGGTAATAATAACCGTTTCCCTATAAGGAAACATTTGGCATTCATTGACCGAACAGCCAGTATTGCTTTTGGTTGAAATTTATAAAATTCTCTTAAAATAATTTTCAGAAAAATAGATTTCTTAAGTCCAGTATTGGTTTTCCAAGCGTAGCTTGGATGTGGCACAAGGCCGAAAGTAAGAGGCACCCAGTGAGGATCGAACTCACTACTTAGTCGTAATAGTTCTAGCGAGACACCACCTGGAGGTGCCCTTTCTCAAGTCCAGTAGCTGTTATTACTCTTTCCAGTATTGATGGTAGTTTTCTTCCTAACCTTTTTATTTTATGTAATGTGGAATGTCAACAACTTGATTATGGCATTATTTTCTCGTCGAATTACCTGGGCTACCCATTATAGTAGTTGCTGCTGTTGGTAGTCCTCAAGATATTGTTATTTCGTACAGTTTTTTTTTGTGATTATGTTGCACCAGCCCATGTGTTTCAAAATAGTACGGTCCTCGCTATGACATACAGACATCATTCAATCAAAGCCATTTTTACTATTGATCTTTGAAAGCAATTGTATACAGCTGACAGTTTAGATATTTCTAAACAGGTTTGACGCCATGCAGGACATCAACATAATAGTTTCGATCTGACGAGGCTATATAAGAAAATGACTTGAAATGTCATGTGAATGTTTTAGTTTTGTAACAATTTGCGATGTTGCGTGAAACTACTTCTATTCTAGGTTCAATTTCTTTTTCGTCTACACTTATATCTGATCCATACGCCGAGCTATTTCCAGTGTTTAGTGTTTATTAATTACACATACTGAAATCTTATGATCGATTAAAGTTATATGCCATCAATGCTTTCATTCTAGTTCCAGATCATAGATTCTGTTTCGGAAAGGTTTATATTGAGACTTATTTCTTGGAACACTTGCTAAAGGATGTTCATTATCTGTTCAAGATCATTCTTATCCTAACTAGGAATACCTATGTTATCAGCACAGACACGCCTACGTAATTACATTACATAGTATTAAAGAAATGCTCAAAATATTATAGAATTTCAAAATATGCAATTTCAGGAGGATTATT